ACGCACGCACGCACACACACGCACGCACGCACACACGCACACACACGCACACACGCACGCACGCACGCACGCATGCACACACACATGCACACACACACATACACACATACACAAGCACAACCCACTTGCTGGCCCGCCTCCTCCCCACCGAACTCCCAGCTGACCGAGTCCCGGAAAGAGGTGGCGCGCCTGAGCCAGCTGCTGGAGGCGCTCGAGGCGTCCGGCGCGGGGGACACCTCCGCTATGGCGCGCCGCGTCGACGGCGATGACGACGGTGCGGCCGCGCAGCGCGGCGCGGCAGTTGCGGGCGGTGGGCCCTGGCTAGAGGCAGGGCGCGTGTGGAGCGCGGGGAATCGGGGTGCCCTCGCTCGCGCTCCGCCTTCTGCCACCTGTTTGAGGCCATGATGCTGCCGCGTCCTCAAAAAAACGCACATGCTGTGCGCCGCTGTTGGCGCTTTTTGTTATTGATTTCAGACTACATCGGCAAGGGCCCTGGTGGGCGGGGCGCCAAGGTGGCAGGAGGCCCCAAGCTCAAGGTCAACCTGGGGGAGATCCGCCAGCAGCTGCAGCGGCAGGTGAGAGGTCAGCCTGGAGATCCAGACCGCCGCGCGCGCTCGTCGCGCAAACGTGGGGCAGGTCCTGCGATGCTGCCGTGGCGGCGGCGCTAGCAAAAGAGGGAGCCTATCAGAGCTAAACCGAGGCCGGCCTACTCTTCCCCCCGCGTGCACAGTCGCATGCGCCACAGCAAGTGCTTTGACGCCGCTTCCCCACCCCCAGCGTGGCCTGCGCTGACGCCGCCCTGCACACACTCACCACAACGCACAAGCCTAGACCCTCAATCTGGATCTCATGCTTTTCAACCCCACAACCCCACAATCTGATTCTATTTCAAAGCCCCCGTTATTGACTGCAACCTAAACCCTCATTCCGATGCTGATTTCAAAACTGCTGTTCACTATCTACAACTGCACAGGAGCGCCGCATCCAGGAGCTGGAGGGTCAGCTGGCGGACACGCAGCAGCAGCTGGACGCCACGCGCGCTCTGAGGGCGGTCAGTCAGGACGCACTGGACCAGGC